TATATATATATATATNTATATATATATATATACTATATATATATATATATATATATATATATATATATATATATATATATATATATATATATATATATATATATATATATATATATATATAATATACTTAAATTATCATCAATTGCATATGAACTACTAGAGGGCCAAAGTATTGATGAATTTAATTTTATCACTAATGTTGACTTATAATTTATAATCATTTTTGCCGCTTTATAATTTTATTTTTTTATTATTTCATCTATTAAAATTTTATTATCTTCAAATTATATTATATCCATCACGTTACTCTCTCTTTTATGAGTAGAGAAAACTTTAAGGATTAGTAAAATATCGAATTATCTGTAAAATTGATCAAAATTGCAAAAAATTAATTGCTAAAGAATTTGAAATTGAACTATTGGAGTTTTTCTTTTTTGAAAAATTTTTAAAACTTTTCCGAATTTTTAAAATCTAAAAAAAAATTTTCTATAATTTGATAGTATAATATAATGATGGGCAATGTTTGGGAAATGTTATGATTTTTTGAAATTGTATGATGATATCTGTTTGAATTCATATAAAACAATGTGATGCTAATAAGATGTACAGTAGATTTTACAAAAATTTTTCATGCAAATTGTAATAATTTGTTTATTTCGTTCGCTCATTTTTCCTTTCATCTTTCTTTTTACAAATATTTCTTTATTTGTCACATAATTTTTCCTTCTAAAAAATCCTCAAATTGTGACAATTTTTCTTTTTGATGTCTATGCTTTGACAGAAAATTTCTCCTCCTTTATTATATTTGAAATGAAATGAAATGATTAGAAAAAAGTAAATTGTCTGAAAAACTATAATTGAGAAAGTTTTTTTTTCTAAATTCATTACAAAAAAGTTTATTAAATGAAAACAAATTTTTATTAAATTAAATAGAAATTGTCAGATTTTCTTTTGATTTTTGACTTTTTTTTTAAGATCTCACATTTCAATGATCCTTTGAGAAGAATGGAAAGAAAACAGAAAAGAGGAGATACAAAAGATACTGAACGGTCATTTTTTGATTGCAAATTGACCATTGCTAAAAAATGATGAGAGAAATTAGCATAAGATTGGATAAGAAAGAATATCTTTGAATCATTTCTAATTTCGATAATTTCTACTTACTATCATCTATGCAGGATGTCAAATTAAATTTCTACCAAATCGCTATTGAATATATGATATATCAATGGATACTAGTAATTTTTAAATTAACACAAGTGATTAGATGGATATTATCATTATCATCATCATCATTATTATCATCCCAAAATTCCATTTCCCACTTATAAAGCCATAATCGGTTGTCTTTTATGAATTGACTTCTGTTAACTGTTTCACTTAAATGCTTCTCTCTACTATACTATTACTATCAATTTCATTTATATGATATGATATGATATGATACTGCCTGTATTTTATTGTAAGCTATCATTGTGTTTGAATATTACTGTAAGTTGTATGTATTCATTTACTGAAAGCTTCTTCCTTTTTTCCCTCTTTCCTTTTTCTCTTCAACCTCTCCTCCTTTTTATGATATTTGATAAACTTTATGGCGAATATTATCACAATGATTAATTTACCTGTCTATTTTATGATATCTATCTATGGTGCATTCGATTATGAATGATGATTTTATTGATGTTTCTATGAAAAATGCATTTCTATTTCGTTTTTTTGTTTTTAACAGAAACAGACAGACAGACAGACACACACACACACACACACACATACACACATATGGAAGCAAATTTAAGTAAATATGAAATGTATTAAAACAATTTTAATTCATACGTGTAGCACATACATATTCAGATTTTCAAATATATTGAATCTTACTTATAGATGAAAATTGGAATTGAAATTGATTTGCTTTCATTTCTAGTTAGGTTCGGTTCAAATTTCAATTTAAAATTCCAATTTATAATTCGTACATTTCATTTTCTTTCTGCATTAAAAAATGTTCGGAAATAAGCATAAATAGTCAATGTATAAATTGCTTAATGTGTAATTAAATTATGATTAAACGCATGATAGATTTATAAAATTGTCGTAAGCCTAAGTCATTTTTTTTACTGAAAAGAGGATTAATGAGAGGGAAATTTGGATAAATTTAATAAAATGATGAAATTTTTTTTTGTTAAATTCTTTTTCTTATATGTTTTCGCTGATGAAAAATGATAATATTTTGATTAATGCAGAGAGAAAATGTGGTAATAATAGATAGAAGTGTGTGGATATGCAAATTATGCATGATAGTAATATTATTAGCGCAAAAATTATCAATGCTAAAGTTAACTTTTCTAAAATCTTTTATAAAAATTTGAAATGAAATTTTAATTATTGTTGGTAAAACAATTATCAATGTAAATTAAAAAAAAAAACAGTGGAAAAAAATTGCGAAAACAAAATTTAAACAACATAAACATTATTTAGAAATTATTAAATTCATCAATATCAAATTTGCAGTGTATATTTGTTATGCTAGAAGAATACTGTATATTTGTTATACTAAAGGAATACCTACAAATATGTTAGAAGTGAAGTAATCAATTAGAATTTATTAAATTATCAAACTACTGAAATTTTGCTTCAAGTATTATTAAACCAGAAACAAGAAACATTAAAAACAAAGAGAAAAAATAATAAATCGAATATTAAATTGAATATAAAATTAATAACAAATATTATTTTATTGAATTAAGAACTGGTATTGAAATGTTGCTGCGAAGAATCGTTAAAATTGTGCACAACGATAATTAATGTAACATTGACAAGTTCAAGGTGAAATTTTCAAAATGAAAATCTATAAAATAATTCAAAAAATAAAAACAAAAAAAACAAAAAGGAAAAGAAAAAATAAAAACATATATACAGAATGAAGTACAATATTAATAATTTTGAAATAAAATTTAAGAATGATGATATTAGAATAAAATCTAATAATGATTAAAGTTAATTAATAATTATTTTCTTCAGATTTTTAAATTTCGCTTTTAATATTTTGTTTGTTCTAAATAATATTCAGGCAGAAATAAATATTTTACAATCGATAATTGAATACTTTTGTGCAATAAACTCATTACAGTAAATAGTCGCACAAAATTTTTTCACGCTAATTGTAAACATAAAAAATGGATTTTTTTTTTTCAAAATTTCATTTTAATAATAAATAAACGAATGAATAATTATCATCGAAATGTCATATATGAATTGATTTATTGTATAAAATGCAAATAAATTGGATGGAAAATTAAATTTCAATTAAAAATTTAAAGTTGTATAATTGTTATGAGATGTCATACATGAATTGATTTATTATATATAAATAGTCTGTGACAGGCAAGAAGACATACTTTTTAGATAAATATAAATAATTATTTATTAATTGCAACTATTATTATTATTGTGGGTAATAAATCAATTATATTTTGCTCAACAAATATATTTGCGCCGAGAAAGAGAGAGAGAAAAAAAAAGAAATTAATGTTTAGGAAAAAAAACTTTTGAAAAATGAAAAAACGAATAAATAAATATACATGAATTTAATTTAACCTGCACGTCTTTTACATAGTATCTCTCTTTTTCAATATTGGAATTAAAAACTAAAATTGATTATTAAAATTAAAAATGAAATTATAAAGTAGTTTTTTAGCGAACATAAATAAGCTGTTCTATTGTCTGTACAACATTGACCTTTTTTTTTTGGTATATTCAACATTCCGTGCATTTTAAGGATTTTTTTTTCTCCCAAAAAATTTTTCAAATCTCAATCACGATTAATTTTTATTGACATGAAAATTACGGTCAAATTTTGTAGGATCAAAAAAAAAAATTATGGCATCAAGTGACAAATAATAAAATAGGTCAGGATGAAGTTATAGAAGATGATCATGATGAGTAATAAATAAATGGTTATCAGTCATTGAGATAAATCTGATAAATGTACGTCATTTGTTCCAATTTCAATCGAGCCTTATCTGTTGACAACAATAAATCACGAGAAATTTACTGATTAGCATAAAATAATAATTGATTAAGATTGCTGATAATATTATTCCCGACCGTTGCATTAGAGAATGAATCATCATTATCATCAGTTAGTACTAAGATTCGTTAATTATTGAAAAACAAAATCAGTTTGATTGATTCGTAAAGATTAAATTAATTTCAATTAAATTAAATTGGAAAAAACGAACATTTTTCCATGTTTATAAGCTATATTTAGTTTTTTTTGATTTAATACAATTAAAATTAATTTCAAGAAATGAACAACAATATTCTGTATCTCATAAAGCATGTAAAATACATGAAATAAATCTTTTGATATTATTGCAGTAAAAACAAACTTCAAATACAGTAGTACCATCCCAAATGAATATATATTTATAATTCAAATATGTAAAGTTTGATCTCATTCTTCTTCAATCATTTAAATTAACAAAATTTTTTTTAGAGCAGTTCATTTCAAGTTTGCAATCAGTTGTTGTAAGCGATGAACAATAATATGACAACGATAAAAACGCCAGGATCTATTCCAGAGAACTTAACTGCAACTCATACATCCATTACCACTAACTTAAGAATTCAGAAAGTATGCTTCTCTACTTTAATTATAATATTTTCACGATTTTTTTTTTCAAATTGAAAATCGCTAATTTGCCATTTAAAAAAAGAAAAAAAAATCTTTCGTGTTAATATAAAAATTATTTTCATTTCAGAATTTTAATAGTATCACTAGAATGAAATTTGACATCATCCTATGAATAATCAATGTTTACTTTTTTATTGATATTAAGGAACAAGCACAATTAGCACGCTCAAAACCAACATATATCCATGACATAATCATTCAAAATGATAATCAAAAACAATGGGATATATTGCTTTTGCCGGTAAATTAAAAATTCCATTAATTTCATTCTTTTTTTTCCAGACAACAAATCCAGTTATTTGGTATAATTTTCGCTTGTTGGAAATGACATAATTGTGACTAAATACGATCGTAATTAAATAAATTTAGAATTAAATATGCTTTTCTATACTATTTCTTGGTGTCATGCACCAGACGACTCGATTCAGTCCTTCTAACGTTCATTATCTAATCTATTACCTCTTACCTGCTTAAAGAATAAGTTTTTTTTTAACCTCTGGATATCTTATCATATTCTCAACTACCACTGCCATTAATATTGTCAATGCAACAAAGTGTCATTTTAAACTTTAAACCATACTTTTTAAATATTTTAGCCTCGCCCACCGTATAACGATGGCATGTTTCGATTACGCTTAACCTTCCCCAATGATTATCCATTCAAACCACCTCACCTACGTTTTGTTACACCAATCTATCATCCAAATATCGATGAAAAGGGACAAATGTGCTTGGCAATTTTGCAATATGACAACTGGAAACCGGGAACAAACATTGAGAGCAGTTCGTTTACCATATTTAATTTTGCCACATTTCGAAAAATTCCACTGAAATGTTTAAACAGACGATTTAATTTGAAGACAACCAAAACCACTTAGCTAATGGTAGTATCGCGGAAGCATATATCGAACATAAACTTCTGGTAAGCTTCCCTTAAATAGTTAAAAATGACTTTGACCGTAAATTTCTTAACGTAAAATTTTGCCAATATATTACATTACGCAATAATGAAAAATCTCCTAGAAGATTGGAAAACTTTCAAATAAAATATAAATCGTTAATCTAATAGTTGAGCTATGTTATTTTACTTTGAAACACTATGATAACCAGGAATTTTCATATTCCAGTAATACAATCATTGATGTTCCTACTCAACGACCCAGAACCTGAACGTCCACTTCGTCATCAAATCGCTGAACAAATTTATAAGGTAAAGCATTGCCGAAGTACATTTCCTGTTTTGATCTCTCTAAAAAAAAAAAAAAAACATAATATACAGCATTTATATTATACCATTTTGGGAAGTTGATTGAGATCCATTTACTTTTCATCGAAATACAAACAAATAGGTGAAAGAATTCTGATTTAGGAATGTACAAATCAAAAGTCAAACGTACTTTCCGATTTCATTTTAATTCAAAAAAACTTGAACGATTTTTGGAATAATGATGGAAGCCAAATTCCAGGATAAACAAACATTTATAAATGAAGCCATTGAATATACCAAGAAATATGCCGAGAAAAAACCATGAAAAATATCTCAGTGGTGACCAAAATTGCAATCGTGTATGTTAATCAATCTCCCAACCTCTCATAAATAAGAGTATGCAGGATAGCCCGAACATATAACGATTGGCGTTTCTGTTGTGAACGGATATCCTCACTCGTTTTACCTATTTGATCCTTTAACTTGCATTACTAATATGTGAAACGAAATTTCAGAAATAAAAACGTCGGATTTATCAGAAATAAATTAAAAAAACAATAGCCAATAAAATTTTTTGGAATGTAAAGTTGAGATACTCAGTGAGAAGAGTGCGGATGGTTTTTTTTCTTCTTCAATATAATCAAACTTAAATGACTAATAGCATACGACGAATCCTTTATCCCATCTCGATTTACAATTAGGTTCAGGGTTTCAATAAAATATAAACTGGAATGACTATAGTTAAGGAATCTTGAAAACTGTCTTTTCAAAAATTTTTGAATATGCTCCACTGCGATACACGCAATGCGAGTTATTTTCTGGTTGTTTAATTGACAGGACGCGTAAAAAACCTTGCATGTTTGACAAAAACATCAGTCTTCAGTTTGCTGCACCGATCTGGCTTCATGTAAGTAATTTTGGAGGATTGCCAACGCAACAAAGGAATCTTTCCCATCTTATCCGTAATCTGTCCATTTTATATACTACTTAACAATGTTCAACAATTTGCGAAAAAGCAAAAGGTAAGCATAAGATTTTTAGCTACCATTTGGAAATGAAGGGGAGAATTGATCGTTCTAAGTAACACAGAGATTGGACATCACTGCATTACGAAAGAAATTTTTTTAAAGCCATGAAAAGATGTACAACCAACGGTAAAATTATCAAAATAGTCAAACATATAAATCAAAGGTGATGCAAACTGTAAGTGAAGAGGAATCATTTTCACCACTTGATTAGAGATTATGCATTAGCGGCATAATGATCATCGTCAGAAGTAGCATAAATTAGACCTTCGGAAGCCAAATATTCGATATCCGCAGAAAATGTGAATGAATTGAAGTGATTTCTTGGGATGCCGGTGCGTATATCATCAATACTAGCTCCAACAACCGGATCGCCATTATTGCGCAAATATTTAAATATCTAAAACTTCAGGTAGAAGACTAGAATAATCAATACACAAAAAATACTGTTTGCAACCCCAATGTAATCCAAGAAATACCTCAGCTTTCTGACCAGTTAATCCACGACAACTATTATCAGGAGCTGAACGAGATGCACTTTGCTGCATTACATTACCGGATACTTTCGGATTAGAGCCTACATTGCTCTTCCAATCGCTGGTCGATTTAGTTTGTCCTCCATCTCCTTCGGTTACACGTAACATTGTACCCTCAGATATAGTTGCCCATTTTTCTGATAACGCCATATTCGGCACATCCTGAAAAATTTAAAATCATCAAGGAAAAATCAACTTGTATTTGCAAGTTATCTAATACTGAAGAAAATGTGAAAAGGCTGTACTAGGATCTGATACGTGAAATAATCGGTTTTGAAAAGAAGAGTGATAGAAGCATCTAGAAACGGTAGAAATAACAATGCAGAAAATCTAACAAAAATTGCAGATAAATTGAGAATGAGCTTTACTGAACAACGGATCGTTGAAAATAATAAAACTTTAAGCTCTAGAACCTTATGGTGAGCGAGGAATACGTTTAAAATACCAACTTTAGTGTGCCACTTATCGGTGTTCCTTATATTTGGAAAAGTCAAATCATACTTTTGCATAGAAAAGGTGGGCAAGTTGAGCTTCTAAATGAAAAGCATCAATCTCTCGCTTGTCCTCTATCTCCCGAACCTGCAATTCATATATTTGGACGCGAAAGAAAATAATTACAATTTACTTATCTTTCTATCAATACCTGTTACGGAATCCCATTATTTCTTGAGGGTTAAGGAGATTTATTTTTTTAGAATGGCGAGGAGGAGAAAGAAAAGGAGAAAGGAAAGATCAATAGAAGTCATTACGAAAAGCATTCCCTTAAAAAGGATAATGTAACAATAAATGAAGCTAGAACTTTTTAAAATTTACATCAAAAGCAACAATACAAAGTCGTTCATTAAAACTCCGCAATTTCCCCACAACAGAAACATCAGTTCCCTCTACTAGTGCATCTGAATTTGCCACAGCACTCGCAAGCTGAAAGACATACATACATTACATAGATTTTTCAAACATTATAAAAGTACTCTTCTTTTATTATCAAACGCCATTCAAACAAAAATCTTATTTCATCAACAATATAATTTCAGATATGAAAGCAGCATAAGTATCTATCCAAGAAATCTGTGCAATCCAGCTACTACGAATGTTAGTTCTGCACATCTATCCAAGAAAACTGTGCAATCCAGCTACTACGAATATTAGTTCTGCACACGCTATAAAAACACAAGCAGCAGCATCCCACTAAAAATTCATGCACAACACCTGTCGCTTCGTTATTTACTTTAATCGATTCGACAGTAAAGCTTATAGAATTTTCAGAAAATATACTATCTGTTTTAAATTCAATCTTAATACATCTGTTAGATGGCTAAGATAATGAGATCATTTTGGGTGTACAGTCAATAGGATAATAACTACCACGCCTTTGTAGTGAATAATGAGAAATGTAGCATTCGCATCATGATAATCGGCTAATGTATACTCGATAGATTGACCTCCATCTGTTTGTAACGATCTTTCACATGACCAACAACTCGAATCTTGAAATTAGATAATTATAGAAATTTATTAATCACGTCATCAACTTGATGAGTCGCTGAAGAGAGTAGATCCCTTCTATCATCACTACAAGAAATTCCTGATAACAAATTTCAAGTGAATCATGATTAAAACTAAAACAGACTCTAATTAGATTTAGAAGAAAAAGAAACTAAAACAAAAAAAAAAAACTAAAACTGCAAACTACAGCAGACTCTAGCTAGACCTTAACACGTCATAATAATTGCATTAATTACAGCGAGGAGCAAAGGGAAAACGAAGAAGTTGCCATACTAATTTCTGCATTCTATTTAGTTTAGAAACCTGAATAAAATAGCTACAAATACGGCCTAAACAAAACTTAACACACTCACAATATTTGCACGATAATGACGGCAATTCACACCGATCCTAGTTTTACGGTAGAGCAAAAAGCATAAAGCTTACCGTGCTGAAGGCATATTTACCGGTTGTAATTTTCTCGTCATTCTTTGCTAACCGACTAAGGTCCTTGACTGTAGCTGGGAATGGTACTTTCTCGGTATGTTGGCTTTCTTTGAATTCATCAGCTTCCACAAACGATGCTTCACCCCAACCACCAGCAATACCCGCATCATAACTTTCTTCACCCCATCCACTTCCATCCATATCTCTGTATATTTTTTCAAATTTCGCGTGTATTTTTTATATTTCATTCAAAATTATCTTGAAGAATATAATGCAATACATAGATATCACAAGAAATAAGCACCATGATTTAATATAAAAGTTGTACTGTAGCATACGCATCGTAAGGCAGTATAATGGATGCACTGTAACGAGCGAAAAGATGTGTTATATTGTACGTTCAAAGGTACAAATATACTACAATGCAGTGTTAGGGATGTGTAAAATTTACATATCGTATTAAGGAGCTGCTATGCTATTCTTACTAACTCCTTGAAATGAGTACTGTACTATATGAAGAAGATACTGTAACTTACTAGGTGAAAATGATAAATAAAATGACTAAATAACAAACTGCCGATAACGAGAAGACAATCCACAGATCCACAAAACATTTTACCCGCGTAAAGGAAAAATCACCGTCCACCAACATTCCGCATAGGACCACTTAGCATGTCTAATAGCTTTAAGAATAAGCATTTCTTGAAGTTTATTTAATTTGTTGGTGCGAAAGTGTACTTCTCAATTTCACTCTTCATTTCCAGTTCCTCTCTTTTCTTTTGTTTTCGAAATTTACATCTGAAATCTTTTCACAGTATCCATTTCAGGATTTCATTGAACGAGGACGTGAGCGTGAGAAGAACGTGAAACGTGAGAGGAAAAGGGATAAACAGATGAACTGTTCTCGTGCATGTCGTATACGGTGGCGAAATGTATTATCACGAGTACGTCCCGAACAAAAGTTATCAAGTCAGAAAGAGCAGCTGGAGATAGATGAAAAGATGACATTAAGTGATGAAGCTGAGGTTAGTTCCAAAAAATGTTATCATATGGTTGTTGTGTAGAGAAAAGCAATGAATGAGAATGAATGAATTGATGAAAAGGAGAAGATTGAATGATAATCGAGATGACATTCGTGATCAACAATAGTCGTCCTTTTTAACTGGATCATTTATCCAAATTAATCAATAATTAGCTAAACATATCTCAGTTGTGTTTCAGCATGTATATGCAGCATTATTTGTGAACTATCACTTTAAATGTCTCATAACATGGAGCATTTATGTGGATAGGATAATCTGCAGAAGTATTCAAGTATAGGTTCAACAATTTAATTCAAATGAAATTTTTAGGTGTGAGTTTAAATTAGAATATTAATATATTAAAATATAACAGATTAAAATATTTTAGTATCAAAATAGTTGGGTTATAACTTAAGTAATAAGCATAAATTCCAATGATAATAAGAGTCAAAATGCCAGGAGTTGGTTCGGCAGCAAGTTCAAGCATTCGGGGTCGAAGTATAGAAGTATCAGTTGAATAATTTGAGCAATAGCATTCAACTGTAATCCAATACTGAAGTTAGCTGCTATTTTAGACATACTTTCTAAGTATATATTTATATTTTTAGAGTATGCTGAAAAAAATGTTACCATCATTGAAATCAGGCGATGAACCGGCAAAACAAAATCATTCAGCGGACGATGAATTTCTGAATGTTGCATCGAAGGAGAAAATTGATATGGATTCAATCCGAGCTAGAGGGTTTGTTTTTACACTATTCCCTCCATGCGTTACAAAACTGGCCGCTTTCAGATGAGGATTGCAAATTACCACGTAGACTATGAGTTCTGAAGTATCTTGTATACATCCATTTGGGTTTTTATTTATTGCAAGATGTTAAAACGTGTTTTGTCGTTTCAACCATATACTTCTAATTCTGATGGCTGAAAATCTTACGGGATTAATGATTAATGAAGGGAATTTGAAGATGCAAGAGATATTTCATAGCCTGAATTCTTAAATCTGGTTCTCAACACGAACTTCAGGATCATTTATTTGCGAGCTTTATTGACTGAATTTATTCGCATTATATCGTGATAAGGAAAAAATGTATTCATGATTTATTTTATCTATCATTTTCAGATTCTTAAAATATCGATACAACTACAAACCACCGGATGATCTTGAGAACCAAGTGAAAGGAGCTGTGGAGGAAGTTCTTATTGATGTAGGGGACGATATACGAAATATCGATCTTACGAAGAATCGGCGCTTAAAATTTCAGGTTTGCTGTGCTTTTTGTTTTGCTTGGTGACTTTTTTATATAAAAATCTTGATCAAATCACTGAGGGACGCAATATTTTATCGGACGATAAAAATTACAAAGCCAAAAATCACAACAGCAAGATAGAAATCAGTCAAGCTGCGACAATACC